GGGGGGGGGGGGGGGGAGTGATAATGTCAACCTTTCATCATGTGACAGTGATCGGGTCTAGCGAATGGCTTCTGGGCTGGAGCACTGGCGTACACAGAGGAAGGAACTGCAGAGGAACGATGCTGAGGTCAGTGTAAAGAGGTCGGTAGGCGACAGACATGAATGAACAAAGTGACAGGGTCTCTTTAAACAGAAGAGCCAAGGGTACACATGTCGCAGAACTGAATGCCTCTCGCGTAACGCACGATGCCCTTTTATCTTTCAGGACACCTTTTGGACTCCTTCGCTCGCTCAGCACTATGGGAGGCCGGGCTGGATTATCTACATGGGACGGGGCACGGCGTGGGAGCCTTCCTTAACGTCCACGAAGGTCCCTGCGGGATCAGCTACAAAACATTCGCAGACGAACCCCTGGAGGCTGGAATGATTCTCTCCGATGGTATTGTACCCCGTCCAAGTCTGAACATTGTGTTGTCACATGGCAAACCTTCCTCCTGGTTGGTTCTTCATCTACTGTGGCCCCTCGTTCCCCCACCATTGATGGTTTCTGCTGTGTGGCAATGCATCAGCCGCATTTACAAGCAAGATCATGATGAGCAAACACATACCGGCGTTCGCTCACCTCTCGATCCTGTCACGGCTCTCTGCCGTGACAGGGGAGGGGCTGGATTCCCCCTCCCCGCTACGATCCTCCAGCTCTGACTGGCGGAACGGACGGGGGAGGGGGCTGGTACAGCTGGCTCTGCCTCTAGATAGGCAGAGCCAGCTGTCACTCACGCAGCTGGGCGGATCCCGGCACAATTGTTGGGATCCGTTCCGGCTGCGGCTGCGGCGTCTCAGTATATAGGGAGCTGTAGCTCGCGGTATACTGAGCTTTGGGTGACGGGAGGACGCTAGTTTGTGTCCTCCCGTTACCCTCAGGAGAACTATGGGGAAAAGCCCTGACCCCATAGTTCTCCTTTTACATCTCCAGCTTCCATTAAAATAATCCCTGGTGACCTTTGCATGAAGGTCCTTGTTCAGGAAATGTCTGCTATAGGGTGACACCGCTCTGTCACCATCTTCCAATTGTGCTCCAGCGTTGCCATCACGCTGCCTTCCAATGGAGAAGACTACAAATGGCGTTTCAACACACATGGTCCACAGTTGTCACCATCAGGAAACCCACCCTGAGAAATGTCACAACCATCACTGGAGTGCATGTCGAGGGGACGTGGCTGCAAAGAGGCAGAAAGGCTTCAGT